CCCTCCCCTTGTCCCCGCCGGGACGGGGACCGCGGCGTCCGGGCAGGTCCCCCCAGAGGGCGGCCCTCGGGGGAGCAGGTCCTCGGCGCTCCCCTGAGCGGGGCGCCCCGCGGGCCGGGATTTCGCGGAGCTGCGGTGGTAAATCTATTAGAGCCCAAGCCGCTCCCTGTAATCCAGCTCCTGCAGCGTGGGGCCAGGGAGCCGGCGGGGTCGGGGCCAAGGTCCCAGCAAAGGCGAGGGCACGCTCCCCGCCGGGCCCCTGCCTGCGTTTATTTGGCCAGCCAAAAAATGCCGTGGTGGTGACCTGGTCACAGCTTTCTCTTCTGGTACCAGTTTCGCTTTCCATCCCTGGGATCAGAGGAAGAGCGAGCCCAATCAGGCTGGGGAAGGAGGCTGGCGTTGTGTTTCTAACGCTTGCTTACTTACTCTCTGACTTCAGGCAAGTTGCGGAAATAATCTACACCTCAGTGTGTTCGTCTGTAAAATACAGCAATTAAAAGAAAATAAAATAAAACCCTCGAAATTAAAGTGTTCTTTACTATCAGGAGATGTGAAACTGATTTTTTTTTTATTTCTTTAAAGTATTTGCCCCATTTGCTAAAAGAAGCATTAGGCATCAAAGCTGAGATTAGTTTTGTATTTAAGTAGACAAGCAATAGCCCTTAAATTTCAACTTTCAGCACCTACTTTTTTTTGCACACTGATTTCCTACTAGACAAGCCACTGAGCAATGCCAGACTTCCTCTGGCTAGCGGGCAGGACACTGTCATTAGGAGAACACGGGGCTTGAGAAGATGCATCAGCTGATGGCCCTGAAAACCAGCAGCTTCTATCCATCTGCAAAATGAGGTCCCCAGACTAAAAAAATACTGCACCTCATTCGTGCTTCTCCCCTCACACTTGCCCTTTGAGTTTTGTTGGGGTTACTTGTCCTGTAAGGATATGACAGCTTGTAACCTTCACAGCGGCCACTGAACGACACAGTACCCTTTCAGCCTTTTCAGACTTGGGCTGGACATCTTAGAGGTTAAAAAGGAGCTAGAAAAAGCTGCAGTCCACTGAGCTGTCCAGCTATGTTGCATTTTCCTTTTTCACTGGATTTTTCAGAGCAAAGAACTCTTTAACCTTCAGTAATATTTGAGTGCTTGCTTTATTTAAGCAGGAAATAACTGAAAAAGATAAAAGTTCTTATTATTCCTTATTTTTTTGTAGGTAAAAGATACCCTTCTTTAGTTTTTGGGACACCCAAATCGTCCAAGAGTATTATTGGGAAAAGCAGTCCTCTCTGGCAGTACATACTGGATCACTCTTTGCGGGAACATCCAATTCTAAAGAAGCTGCGACTGGTTAGTATTTTATCCCCCACACAGGCTTTCTGTTCAGTGCTGTTACTATTCCACTAGGACCTTTTAGTATCGCCCACACCTCATCCTGAACTGCTGGGCTTTTTGTGATATTCATTCCTCCATCTTATTTGTGTACACATTAGGATTTGTTTTGAACTGGTAATACCCAGACTCTTGAAAGTTCAGGGCTACCTAAACAAGTGTTTAATAGGATTGGCATATATTTTGGACATGTCTTTTTATCCATGGCTCCCAAGCCCATGTGTTTGGGCTGCACTTGATTTTGACTTGAATAGGTGACTTCTGTCTATTTTAGTTGGCATATAAGGAAACTAGATCAGAGAGGTGATGTCCTCCAGCAGGCCTCAGAACAGACCTCCTGACTCAGGATTGAGTCATTTCAAGGGAGACAAACTAGTGTATAAAAGCAATTAAATGTTAAGTACTGGAGCTGGCTGGTTGGAATGAGCCCTAAAGGAAGAAAATAAATGGGACAACCGTCCTGTTCATTCAACTGCCATGGCACAGCCTGCTTCTCCTGCTACCGCCTCCTCAGTGCCAGGGTTCCTCCCACGCTAACACGGGCACAGATCCTCCAAATCTGCGCTGTGTAGCAAGAACCATGTGATCTGACCTTCGGCAACAGACTTTAACCTAGCAGTTCATAAAACCATCCTACATATCGTGGGGTAATAAGGGCATAAGTACAAACATAATTAAAAAAACCCACCAGGCATCTGGTTATGTAAATACACAGAAGCAGAGGACTTTCACAGTCAACGTTTCTCTATGGTTCTTCATCAGTTATAACCATTGCCGAGTTTGCTGCAGCCATGGTAACTCTGGGGCAGCTGCTTTGAATGACTAGCCACTGCTTACACACACACCTTGCCCTCCTTAGTTACTGCTAAATTCAAACCAATTTCTGGCTCATAGATGGTGCGCAAAGCCATCTAAAATGAGAAAGATAGGAGTCTCTGTTTTTCCTGGGTTTCTCTGGGTTTTTCTCTGGGATACTGTTTTGGAAGCTTTGGGTTTTGTTTGTTGTGATGTGTTGTGGGTTTTTTTCCCCTTTCTAGCTCACCGCTGATCATCCCTGCAGTAAAATGATGGTGTCCTGTGACCAGGCTCAGCTTATGGCAAATTTGGTCAAACTCATTAAAGCCAAGAAAGTTATTGAAATAGGTAGGAGTATCACTTTGCTCTCCGTATAGTAGAATAAAGCTCCTGGCTGTGCATCTCCAAATACAGCCATGTTTACATAAGATACCTAAACATAGTAAGGCACTGCATACCTGTCTCAGGAAACAGGTGGGCAAACTACAGTGTGAAAAGTAGCATCTCATTTGCAGTCACTTGCCAGTTGGTCTATCTGTGCAGTCAGTAATTCTGGCATCAGCATGGATGTCTTACCAACTCCGAGGCAATCTGAAAAAATAAGATCAACAGACCACTTCGCTCTCCAGCAGCTGCAGGACAGTGTATTCTTTCCTTCCTGTATCAGTTTCTTGCCAGAAGGAAATGTTTTGATGCACAGGCCCTGCATCCAATCCACCTTCCTTGATGCATCTATGTTAGCAGGACGTCCCAAACCCAGACTAACGCTGAGCAGCCAGGTATGGGTTCCCACCATCTTCGTTCTTGGCCTGGCTGTTATGATGCCCTGGTATTTTGCTGCTGGTCCAGTCCCTTTGGCTTAGGATTTAGCTCCACTTTTAAATAAGAGTGTTCCTTAGATATGTAGGACCAGACTCTGCCCTGTGTGTCCAGGAGACTTATGGAAAAAGCCAACATTAAGCTTTGCTAAAAGATTGATTAGAAAAAAAAAAAAAAGTAAAAACTCCTAAATTCCTTCCAACCCACCATTACATTAAAATGGAGGGGGAAACCTTTTGTGGCCATTAGCAAATTGTTATCCTTGACTCCTTTGGGGTTTTTATCTTGAAATGAACCCTGTAGTTCACTATTTATCTTTTTTTTTTTTTTTCCACAATATGATAAGTGTTGATGATTCTTACGACTTTCATAGGTGTTTTCACAGGTTATAATACCTTGAATATGGCTCTTGTCCTGCCAGATAATGGCAGAGTTATTGCATGTGATATAAATGAGGACTGTGTCAAAATTGGAAAGCCACTGTGGAAGGAGGTAAGCAGCATCTCTTCTGTTACATGTTTGGGAAAGCTGCATTTGCATGTCGAGGGATTTTGGTATCTTAGACTTGCACATTTGCGCACAAGCATTTGTATCATCAAAGGAGGCTGAGACAGTTCAATTTGGAAAGATAAGTAAGTGCTGTCTGGAACCTAGAAATAATAGGAAAAATATCTGAACACCAGTCACTCGCTGAGTGCAACCTGCTAACAGGTTATTTCTTGACGACTTTCATCAACTCTTTGTTCATTTTCATTCTAGGCAGGGGTAGAGCATAAAATTGACCTGCGGATTAAGCCAGCAATTCAAACACTTGGTAAGTAACTTAAAATACTTTTTTTTTTCCACTTCCCTAGAAATAGAAGATGGGTATAATACCAATGAAATCTAAGACCAAATATGCTTGTAGATGTGATCCCTATGCTAACAGTGAGACAGCTTCTTTTGTATTTAAAAAAATAAAAATTAAAAAAAAAAAATCAGAAAACTTCAGAAGTTCACAGTTTTCCTATGTGCTAGCAGAGAGGAAGAAAATGCTTGTCCCGCATAGTGGGCTGTACTGGTCACTCACCTGTCCTGTCCATCGCCTTGTTTAATCTATGAAGCACTATTGTCAGCTCCTTCTGAGAAAGCTGATTAAAACAGATTAATTAGACAAAGCCAAATTTCTCTTATCCATTGTCCATTCTAAGCAAGTATTTCTTTGTTATAGACAGGAAGAGTTTTCTAAAGGGACTGAGGTGCAGAAAAAATACAGAAGTCAACATAAAACTTAGGGTATGATAGTTGAATTGGGTCCAGCAGGGTTCAAATTTAGGATGTGCCAAAAGCACACAAGGCCATTAGAAAGGCAATCACTTTTCTGATTCAAGAAAAGAGAGGAATATGAATATTTTGAAAATGCAAGACATTTGCTAGGAATGGAGGAGGCGTAAGGTTTCCAGCAAAGGTGTTTCATGGATCCACATGTCCATCCCTAACCTTGTAAATTCACCCATCCTTTCTAAAGAGGCAAATATTAGCAGTCTGCTAGGATGCACTATCCTTGAAGTCTGATGGACGGCTTTGTCTAGACAATGCTTCAGACAAAAAGATCCCTGTTGGCAGAGAGTAAGGGCAGGTGAGAGGGGTGGCCAGGAACCTTAGGATGGCAGCAGTCAGCCCCTCTGCAACTGGCGATTTGGAGTTCTGAGTCAAGAAGTCCATTTAGGAGAACTTAAAACTGAATTCCACTTGTCTTAGCCCAGAGAGGGACTGCTTACATCAATCTTTTGCTGTGATAAAGATTTCTGACAGGGTTTCTTCGTGACCTGTATCATGGCTCTCAATTATCAACAAGAGATTAACATTTAGGACCTGTTCATAAATGTGAGAAAAATCCTAATCCATTTAAGAAAACAGTTCTCCTCAGTCAGCTCAAAAAATAGCTGAAGGTATAGAGTGTGTTCAATTTCAAACTGCTTGACTTGTTTTTACTGCACTTTTCAGCGGTCCCAGCTGTATCCTGCAGGTTTAGAACAACTCCGTGAAGTTCCAAGTAGGCAGAACTCGGTAACTGAGTGTTTTATGGCATACATCATGTCTAGATTGGCTTCTGTGGGATAAGCTTTTCTAGTAATTAGCTATAGAAGAACAGGCTGCCCGATCAAGGCACAAAAAACATTATTTAATGAGAACTTTGACACAAATGGATGACTTCTGCCTGCATAGCATTAACCAGGGTGTAATGACTCACTTTGTTGCTCATCTAGATGAACTGTTGGCCAGTGGAGAAGCTGAAACCTTTGACTTTGCTTTCATTGATGCGGATAAAGAAAGCTGCAATGAGTACTATGAAAAATGTTTGTGCCTCATAAAGAAAGGGGGAATAATAGCTATTGATAATGTAAGTACAGCAGTTGCAGTAGCACAGGGAGTTACTGCTTTTGCCTCTGGGAAAGGAAAAAAAAAAGTCACAGTGGGAATCTAGTAACGTGATTTCTGACCTGGAACTCAGTTGCCAATTGTAACATGTTTGTTCCATGTTATACAAAGGAGGCTTTTAAAATTCGGCATAAATTCCTAAAGTAAGCTATATGGAACACTAATATAAGCAAGGAATAAAACCCTATAGAAGTAAGAAGTAATGTGTTAAATTTATGTTAGTGCATAAGCAGCCTGTGATTTGTCTTGTGCATTTTCTAGTATGTACAGTACTATGCAAGATCAAAGGTAGCACTTGTAATCAGTAACTACTAATACATTATTGATTAATAAATTTTACTAGAAACAACGATATTAAACTTCAGGCACCTTCAGGATTATGGTAGCAGATGAATAGGGGCTTTTAAAAACACCTATGCTTAATCACATCTTTTTTTATTTTGGTTTCTAATTTGCAGTAGAAGTACAATTAGCCAATTCTGTGGACTCCCAATCCCACTTGTTTACGAGAGCTCCATGTCAGAGACCATTAGAAAGCTGAAATATAATAAACAATATCAATTTCTAGAAAATAAGATCCTTTGTAGTCCAAGGAACATATTGGAACAAATGAGGTGCATGACATTTCTTTTTTCAATAGGTCCTTTGGAGTGGAAGGGTGCTAAAACCAAGAAAGGATGACTTGGCAACCCAGAGCATCCACCACCTCAATGAGAAGCTTTTCAGAGATGCACGAGTCAATATCAGCATGCTCCCAATGGGGGATGGAGTCACATTAGCATTCAAGTTGTAACTGGAAGAAGCCCAGCAGATGGGAAACAACAAACAGCATCAAAAAATCAGGAAATACACAGATGGAGCAGTATCAAAAATGGTTATTTAACCTATATTTCCACTGGATAGCATAGCCTGGGAAAGTAGACTTTAGGAGCAGCAGGATCCTAAGGGCAGCTAAGTTGGGAAGAGAGAACTATTTTGAGATCTGGTATGGTCTCTTATTTTAATCATAATAAAGCAAGTATACTTACATGAAGTTGTCCCTGTAAGACAGTGGTTTAAAAAAATATCACAGAACAACTGAGTTTTAAGTCAGTCACTAGAACAAAGTCCTTTTCTATCCTAAAAGATGCTACTGAGTATCAGAATAATCAGTCCTACCATCAAAAGGAAAGTGGGATTTACTTATGTTAAAAGCCATAATAGAAAAATAGATTTTTTAATGAAATGTACATGACACCATGCAGATTGTTAGCCTTCTCAAACTAATGATATTAAAAGTCACTGGTAATCTTTGAAGGGTACTACATAAGAAGCCTCAAATATACACCATCTGGGATAAAAAAAAGTTGTCTTTAAAATATGTCGAAGTACAAACAGTATTTCCAATATAGAGCACTCCCTAAAACCTTTGTGTGCAAGGACTGGGTTTCTTTAACCTAGGTAACAGTGCAGGTTCTGACTTTTTTGAAGTCAGAATTAGGAAGAGCAAATGGACAAGAAGAAACCCAAAACAATTCTTCCTCCTTCCATTCTCCCTCCCACCTAAGAAGCAACTTCCCAGGTGCTTGCTTCTTAGAAAGTTGCAAGGACAGAGCATTGGTGGCAACTCTACAGAAGGAAAATGATAATTGTGTGAGGATGCAATACAGCTGTTAACTGGCTATTCAAATAACTGCTGCAAGCAGAGATTCCCTTCCCTAGGCAGCATGTAACAAAATTATGCTTTTTCCGTGCTCCAGTAAAGTATTTTTCCTACAGTATTTGTAACTCCTAGTTAACTTCATTCGCTGTTGTCATCCATTACTCTTGTTTCATCCTGATGTATTAGATAAAATTTTTGATCAAGAAACAGTAGTTGAAAAAGCTCCTCTTACCTGGGACCAATGAAAGAGACTTAAGCAGGTGGGAGGCATATTCTGTTGGAGCCAAAGAATAAGAATCCAACTAATGACTCCTTTCCATGGTGAATTACTAATAGTAATAACTAATTTTTAGGGCTTTCTATTTCAGCCTGAAATTCTTATTACAGAGAAAACCTGATTAAACAAGAAACAAACTAGCATTTTACAGACAAAAGCTCCACCAGCTCCTGTTTTGGGAGAACGACACACTGGAAGGGTATCATATTGTCTATGTTTAGCCTGTACCCAGGGATAAACTATGTCAGTTGCTCTATCACCCAGCCAGGAAGGGGAATCAGGAAAAGGAGAGGAGACCCACAGGTTGGAGTGAAAACAGATTTAATGAAACAGCACTAATACAAACAAAGGTATACAAAGTTATACTCAGCCAAATGAACAAGCAGCAGTCACAATAGCAGGAGAGCAGTGCTCAGGAGCAGCAAGAAGCCAGAGGAGCAAGAGGAACCCCAGCAGAAATCACACAGCAGCTCCCTCTCCTTAGCAAACCTTCCCACTTTACAATGGCCATGACATTATGGTGCAGGCTACCCCTGTAGCTAACTCAGGTCAGCTGCCCTGGCTGACTCAAAACTGCTAACAGCCTGCCTAGCATGTCTGGACTGGGATTCTGTCCCAGCCAAACCAGGACACATATGTACATTGAGAAAAAAAAGAGAATCTTTCCATTTGCTCAAATAATGCACTTGAATGACTCAAGGCACTGGAGGACAAAGATTTCAAGTCTCAAAATTGTTAGAACTGGCTATTCAGTTCATATTTTCGAAGTTTCAGGTGGGTAGCCTGGATTCCGATAAGGGGCAGATGTTCAGGGCACAGGTCTTACCTGTCTCAGACACTCGTGGTAGAGTAATGAAGAACGGAAGTGTTGCCTGATAGTTTCAGACTGGGGCTATGAGTGAGATCTCACTTCTATTTCTGTCACTTAAAACTCTGATTGAGCAGAGCATGTCAGGATGTGCTTAAGTACTTTGCTGAATTGAGGACTGGCTGCTGTAAAGTAAAATCCATGCCTAGGGGAAGGCCAGGACAAGGTGCATATGGCTCTTAAATGAGATTTTAAATAGAGCATAAAACTTGCCCAATTTCTTCTTCTGGGTACAGTTTTACCTTCACAGCTTCAGACCTCTGTGTGCCTCAATTTCCTTATCTACATAAAAAGTAACACCTTACTAAAGTCTTAATGACTATAATAGCCCTCAGATGGAGTGGCTAAAGGAATATACAAGATCATTATACATTTGCAAGCAAAGCTTCTGGCCATGTTCTATGTTACAATTTTACTGTTTAAGTAGATAACAGAAAATTGTAAGGGTTGCAAACACAAAATGGGACACTTGAACAGCTGGGGCATCCTCTCAAATATTCCTGCTTCCAGAGGCTGTAGGCTGATAATCAGGAGAGAGCTACCGGCTGTTAAGAATACATACCCTGGCTTGATGGCCTTTCCCAAACACACAGAAGTCTCTGGAAGACTGATCACTGACTGTAACTGTTTGGCTACTAATTTCCAAGTTGCAAGAATCCTCTCAGTAAAGCCAAGCCAAAAAATGGGCAAGCACTGTGAGTATTTTTGCAAGAAACTGCCAAATAACAGTTTAGCAACATTCCAAACCAGATACAATTGTAGTTCATTAATTCAAAAACTCCTGTTTTTTGAATGGTGGGAACTGGCAAAGTCCCCATCACCTGCGCTAGAGGAAGACCTATTGAGTGCCTGAGGCTGTAGTAAGCTAGAATTTTGCCTCTGCTTTGGACTCTTCTTCATTTTAAATATGCAGAGCATAGTGTGAGCATTTAATCAAACCTGTCTCCATCCTGATCACGTAATTACCATTAGAAAGAATAGCAATGTGTCCCTAAACTATAGATTGATGAGCCATCTGTAAGCTGAAACAAAGAGCAGAAGGAAGCTTAATTGAATCAAATATTTAGAATACATTACACTCTATCTTGTAGTTACTCAGAAGCTGGCCTTCTCTTCAGGCTTCTGTCCTGCGCATCTGGAATTCATCACCACTAACTGCTTTTAATCCTTCAACCTTACTATAAAGTGACTGCTGATAATATATAATTATGGTTTAATTCAAGTGGTGAATCAGCTTTGGGGAATTTGTGAGGACAATGGGAATTTAGGCTTTCATTAGGTGGTGAGAATGGACCACAAGATAATGCAGCACAAGTCTTTGTCTCTCTCTAATGGTGAGATTATGTATGGGAGCTTATGGGTCTGCTCAACCCTCCCAGGTAACACACCTGCCTGAGCTACTGCTCACACTGTAGAGGCTCAGGATTTTCCACCCCTAAAAGAGAAACTGACCTGGGGGCACAGCTGTTGCCCAAACCCTATCGCCTAGCTGGTCGTGCAACATTGGCATCTCTTCTAGTTGCAAGGGTTGACCCCAGAAAGGCCAACACAGGTGACAAATGTACAGTTGGGACTTGCTCAGAAGCAAATGGGGCTGAAGGATAGTGCATTAAAAAAAAAAAAAAAAAAGAAAAAAATGTATTCTCCCTAGTGCAGTAACTCCCAGAAGCCATTATGAGAATGAAAGCATGAAATCCTAGCTGCTGGTCAGGTAGCTCAGTCCCTGCTCCAAAGTTGTCACAATTTGAAATGGTGTGGTGTGGTATTTAGATGGGTGACAGGGAAAGGAACAGAAGACACTTTCAGAGCAGACTTTGCATCTCTGCTAGCTAATTAAATGAGCAGTCGACACTTGCTCAGCTCTGCTGCCATGCTCCCCCTTCATGCTGTCCCTCTCCAATATACCCAGAAGAAAGATAGCAAGAGCTTGGGGTTATCTACAGCATGGAAAACATTCAGGACTCAGACTGGGTGCTCAGAAACCTAGAGAGAGCTGCCTGTAAAAAGAAACAACTCACTGTCCAAGGGTAGACACATGGTTTCCTGAATGCTCAAGGCTCACTTCTGCATTTTCAATGCTGCAGCTTTTGATCCTGCTGGAACATGTGAGGAAGAAAGCAGGGAGTATCATCACACTTACGTTGCTGCAGGCCTAAAGGAAAACTAGGCTGCTGGGTGTAGCATAACTTAGATACATTTGTTTGAATCTCTGACACTGCTGTCCCTCCTTTTAACAAACTCGTGAAATGTTTTTAATCTATTTGAATTTAGCCATGTTACACACTGACAGCACTTTCTGTGAATTGCTGCTCAAGAAAGAAAATTGGCAAGCTTTTTTGTGATAAAGCCCTTATCACAGGGAAAGGAACATGAATATAAACCTCATCCTCCCCACATTCCCCAGAAACCTTGCGTCTCAGGCCTGAGGCACACACCATGTCTCAGGCACTGTGATCTTGATGATATTCGAGTGGTAACAGGAGCAAGCACTATAACTGGCTCTACTCTCTGGTCTGCCAAGCCCTGCCCCAGGACAGTGGTGTTACTCTGCTGCTGCTGCATGTTGTGCCTGGTGATTTGCACTGGGATGAAAGGCTCTGCGCAAGTATAAAGCATTACCTCTGCATAATTCTAATCACACACAAATTGGTCTCATGCATTTGCAGCTACTCATGGTTTCTAAGTCACCTGTTTTATAATAATAATTTTAAAAGCAATGTTTTGAAAAAGGAAATGAACAAACATAAAACCTGTAAAAGAGGGAAATTAATGTTGGATTTCAGACAAGTTATTTATCTTCCTTTTTGGCTCAGTGCAATACTGTAGGGATAAGCACATAACTAGCTGCTTTAATATTTACTCCTATTACAGGAAAAGTAAACATTGATGATAAGTCTCTGCTTTCCAGGATTAAATTTCATATTTTAGAGACTGTTTTAAATTAATGTAGAAGCAAACATTATCTTTTCTTCTTATTCATATATTTCCCTAATGAGTTCCAAGCAA